TTTTGCTCATATGGAGGATTTATAAGATATAGACTTCCTATTGGCATGATATTTCATATTAATTATGATATATATTAAAAAATACGATTTGAAAAGATTCAGGTCAACAGCTTTTAAAATACGCGAAATTCGGTGAAAAAAATAATTTTTAAACGATTTTTCTAATTTGCTCTTATAGGAGCTATCCGATTGTCACGATTTTTAACCCTAATCATAATATGCCTTAAAAAATGCGATTTGGAAAGATTCAGGTCAACAGCTTGTACACTGCGCGAAATTTGCTGAAAAATTTAATTTGAACGCAATTTCACTTTTGCTCATATGGAGGATTTATAAGATATAGACTTCCTATTGGCATGATATTTCATATTAATTATGATATATATTAAAAAATACGATTTGAAAAGATTCAGGTCAACAGCTTTTAAAATACGCGAAATTCGGTGAAAAAAATAATTTTTAAAACGATTTTTCTAATTTGCGCTTATAGGAGCTATCCGATTGTCACGATTTTTAACCCTAATCATAATATGCCTTAAAAAATGCGATTTGGAAAGATTCAGGTCAACAGCTTGTACACTGCGCGAAATTTGCTGAAAAATTTAATTTGAACGCAATTTCACTTTTGCTCATATGGAGGATTTATAAGATATAGACTTCCTATTGGCATGATATTTCATATTAATTATGATATATATTAAAAAATACGATTTGAAAAGATTCAGGTCAACAGCTTTTAAAATACGCGAAATTCGGTGAAAAAAATAATTTTTAAACGATTTTTCTAATTTGCGCTTATAGGAGCTATCCGATTGTCACGATTTTTAACCCTAATCATAATATGCCTTAAAAAATGCGATTTGGAAAGATTCAGGTCAACAGCTTGTACACTGCGCGAAATTTGCTGAAAAATTTAATTTGAACGCAATTTCACTTTTGCTCATATGGAGGATTTATAAGATATAGACTTCCTATTGGCATGATATTTCATATTAATTATGATATATATTAAAAAATACGATTTGAAAAGATTCAGGTCAACAGCTTTTAAAATACGCGAAATTCGGTGAAAAAAATAATTTTTAAACGATTTTTCTAATTTGCGCTTATAGGAGCTATCCGATTGTCACGATTTTTAACCCTAATCATAATATGCCTTAAAAAATGCGATTTGGAAAGATTCAGGTCAACAGCTTGTACACTGCGCGAAATTTGCTGAAAAAATTAATTTGAACGCAATTTCACTTTTGCTCATATGGAGGATTTATAAGATATAGACTTCCTATTGGCATGATATTTCATATTAATTATGATATATATTAAAAAATACGATTTGAAAAGATTCAGGTCAACAGCTTTTAAAATACGCGAAATTCGGTGAAAAAAATAATTTTTAAACGATTTTTCTAATTTGCGCTTATAGGAGCTATCCGATTGTCACGATTTTTAACCCTAATCATAATATGCCTTAAAAATGCGATTTGGAAAGATTCAGGTCAACAGCTTGTACACTGCGCGAAATTTGCTGAAAAATTTAATTTGAACGCAATTTCACTTTTGCTCATATGGAGGATTTATAAGATATAGACTTCCTATTGGCATGATATTTCATATTAATTATGATATATATTAAAAAATACGATTTGAAAAGATTCAGGTCAACAGCTTTTAAAATACGCGAAATTCGGTGAAAAAAATAATTTTTAAACGATTTTTCTAATTTGCGCTTATAGGAGCTATCCGATTGTCACGATTTTTAACCCTAATCATAATATGCCTTAAAAAATGCGATTTGGAAAGATTCAGGTCAACAGCTTGTACACTGCGCGAAATTTGCTGAAAAATTTAATTTGAACGCAATTTCACTTTTGCTCATATGGAGGATTTATAAGATATAGACTTCCTATTGGCATGATATTTCATATTAATTATGATATATATTAAAAAATACGATTTGAAAAGATTCAGGTCAACAGCTTTTAAAATACGCGAAATTCGGTGAAAAAAATAATTTTTAAACGATTTTTCTAATTTGCGCTTATAGGAGCTATCCGATTGTCACGATTTTTAACCCTAATCATAATATGCCTTAAAAAATGCGATTTGGAAAGATTCAGGTCAACAGCTTGTACACTGCGCGAAATTTGCTGAAAAATTTAATTTGAACGCAATTTCACTTTTGCTCATATGGAGGATTTATAAGATATAGACTTCCTATTGGCATGATATTTCATATTAATTATGATATATATTAAAAAATACGATTTGAAAAGATTCAGGTCAACAGCTTTTAAAATACGCGAAATTCGGTGAAAAAAATAATTTTTAAACGATTTTTCTAATTTGCGCTTATAGGAGCTATCCGATTGTCACGATTTTTAACCCTAATCATAATATGCCTTAAAAAATGCGATTTGGAAAGATTCAGGTCAACAGCTTGTACACTGCGCGAAATTTGCTGAAAAATTTAATTTGAACGCAATTTCACTTTTGCTCATATGGAGGATTTATAAGATATAGACTTCCTATTGGCATGATATTTCATATTAATTATGATATATATTAAAAAATACGATTTGAAAAGATTCAGGTCAACAGCTTTTAAAATACGCGAAATTCGGTGAAAAAAATAATTTTTAAACGATTTTTCTAATTTGCGCTTATAGGAGCTATCCGATTGTCACGATTTTTAACCCTAATCATAATATGCCTTAAAAAATGCGATTTGGAAAGATTCAGGTCAACAGCTTGTACACTGCGCGAAATTTGCTGAAAAATTTAATTTGAACGCAATTTCACTTTTGCTCATATGGAGGATTTATAAGATATAGACTTCCTATTGGCATGATATTTCATATTAATTATGATATATATTAAAAAATACGATTTGAAAAGATTCAGGTCAACAGCTTTTAAAATACGCGAAATTCGGTGAAAAAAATAATTTTTAAACGATTTTTCTAATTTGCGCTTATAGGAGCTATCCGATTGTCACGATTTTTAACCCTAATCATAATATGCCTTAAAAAATGCGATTTGGAAAGATTCAGGTCAACAGCTTGTACACTGCGCGAAATTTGCTGAAAAATTTAATTTGAACGCAATTTCACTTTTGCTCATATGGAGGATTTATAAGATATAGACTTCCTATTGGCATGATATTTCATATTAATTATGATATATATTAAAAAAATACGATTTGAAAAGATTCAGGTCAACAGCTTTTAAAATACGCGAAATTCGGTGAAAAAAATAATTTTTAAACGATTTTTCTAATTTGCGCTTATAGGAGCTATCCGATTGTCACGATTTTTAACCCTAATCATAATATGCCTTAAAAAATGCGATTTGGAAAGATTCAGGTCAACAGCTTGTACACTGCGCGAAATTTGCTGAAAAATTTAATTTGAACGCAATTTCACTTTTGCTCATATGGAGGATTTATAAGATATAGACTTCCTATTGGCATGATATTTCATATTAATTATGATATATATTAAAAAATACGATTTGAAAAGATTCAGGTCAACAGCTTTTAAAATACGCGAAATTCGGTGAAAAAAATAATTTTTAAACGATTTTTCTAATTTGCGCTTATAGGAGCTATCCGATTGTCACGATTTTTAACCCTAATCATAATATGCCTTAAAAAATGCGATTTGGAAAGATTCAGGTCAACAGCTTGTACACTGCGCGAAATTTGCTGAAAAATTTAATTTGAACGCAATTTCACTTTTGCTCATATGGAGGATTTATAAGATATAGACTTCCTATTGGCATGATATTTCATATTAATTATGATATATATTAAAAAATACGATTTGAAAAGATTCAGGTCAACAGCTTTTAAAATACGCGAAATTCGGTGAAAAAATAATTTTTAAACGATTTTTCTAATTTGCGCTTATAGGAGCTATCCGATTGTCACGATTTTTAACCCTAATCATAATATGCCTTAAAAAATGCGATTTGGAAAGATTCAGGTCAACAGCTTGTACACTGCGCGAAATTTGCTGAAAAATTTAATTTGAACGCAATTTCACTTTTGCTCATATGGAGGATTTATAAGATATAGACTTCCTATTGGCATGATATTTCATATTAATTATGATATATATTAAAAAATACGATTTGAAAAGATTCAGGTCAACAGCTTTTAAAATACGCGAAATTCGGTGAAAAAAATAATTTTTAAACGATTTTTCTAATTTGCGCTTATAGGAGCTATCCGATTGTCACGATTTTTAACCCTAATCATAATATGCCTTAAAAAATGCGATTTGGAAAGATTCAGGTCAACAGCTTGTACACTGCGCGAAATTTGCTGAAAAATTTAATTTGAACGCAATTTCACTTTTGCTCATATGGAGGATTTATACGATATAGACTTCCTAATGGCATGATATTTCATATTAATTATGATATATATTAAAAAATACGATTTGAAAAGATTCAGGTCAACAGCTTTTAAAATACGCGAAATTCGGTGAAAAAAATAATTTTTTAACGATTTTTCTAATTTGCGCTTATAGGAGCTATCCGATTGTCACGATTTTTAACCCTAATCATAATATGCCTTAAAAAATGCGATTTGGAAAGATTCAGGTCAACAGCTTGTACAAATTTAATTTGAACGCAATTTCACTTTTGCTCATATGGAGGATTTATAGAATAGACTTCCAATGGCATGATTTTTTTTTTTTTTTTTTTTTTTTTTTTTTTTTTTTTTATTTTTACCTTATTAAAATTTTAAAATTGAAATTTATGGGTTTATAAGATATAGACTTCCTATTGACATGATATTTCATATTAATTATGATATATATTAAAAAATACGATTTGAAAAGATTCAGGTCAACAGCTTTTAAAATACGCGAAATTCGGTGAAAAAAATTAACACTGTTAAACAAAGCTCTTAAAGCCTACTATTTCTAAAAGAATATTTCGATAGCGATAAATTGTCGCGTTTAGTCACAGTTCCAAGTATTTTAAAAAACCTGTTAACATACTCAGTATTTATTTTTAAGATATTTTTATGTTACTACTGTTAAAATACTCTTAAAGCCTACTATTGTAAAGGCCTCTGCTAACGCCTCTAAATACTATTTATATATAGCTAACGTTTATAACGAGCTGAAATAAATACTAAGCCACACACCTATTCATATATGCAGAGTGGTCTTACTTGTGATCGTTTCACCGGCACCAAACTGAAAAGAACTGGTCTCCGCTACATCCTTGATTAGCGCCTCCTGCTCTCACGAGTCCTTATCATATCCAGCTGGACCAGCTCCTTCTGCCACTGCTCCCTTGGGGTCAGTGTGCATCCAGTATTCACAGCAAACTCGGTGGCAAATTAGCCAACAACCGACGGTGGACTCTCCTGAAGTTGGCGTCGCTAATCTACAGCTGGCTGTATATGAAATTGCCAACCACATTAATCCGGACTCTCCAGAGGCTTTGAATGAGGCTGACACGTGCTGCAACACACACCCCTAGTACGAGAGGAAAAGACTTGTAAGTTACAGCGTGCAAAAACTCTGAAGATACTTTCTCCCCTGTGGATTGGAAACTGGCTGCTACTTAACTCCGCCGACTCCGCTGGCTGGTACACCTCCATCGACACTGGACGTCTTCCTGTGGATGCGGCAACTCCAAATCCTGTTGGCAGAAAGCCGCGAACAACCTGAAAAGTAAATTTTTATTAGCAAACTTGTAAATTCTAAAAATGTAAACAAACCAGCCATGCTGGCTTTTTTCGATTGTCATGCCGCGATATCGGGTCACTAAGGCCACTATCGATATTCGCGGCAGTGACTCTTGACATCGATACTCAGGCATTTTTGGTCACACCTCACAGTTAACAGTTCCTATAAGAATATTTCGATAGTAATAATTTGTCGCGTTTAGTCATAATTCCATGTATTTAAAACCTGTTAAAACATTCAGCATTTATTTTCTATGTTAACATTGTTAAACAAAGCTCTTAAAGCCTACTATTTCTATAAGAATATTTCGATAGCGATAAATTGTCGCGTTTAGTCACAGTTCCAAGTATTTTAAAAAACCTGTTAACATACTCAGTATTTATTTTTAAGATATTTTTATGTTACTACTATTAAAATACTCTTAAAGCCTACTATTGTAAAGGCCTCTGCTAACGCCTCTAAATACTATTTATATATAGCTAACGTTTATAACGAGCTGAAATAAATACTAAGCCACACACCTATTCATATAGGCAGAGTGGTCTTACTTGTGACCGTTTCACCGGCACCAAACTGAAAAAATTTTGGGGTGTGTTTGAAGAATTGTTTTGTGCCAACTGTTGAAGTCCTCAGTGACTAGGGTGGGTATTTGCGAGTGTCTAGAACGGATTGAAGGTTTTTCAAGGTAAAAGATTTGTTTGGTGCTATACTGAGATAATTCTGAATTTAATCTTGGAGTTTAATTCTGTGCTGACTGAGTCAAAGTCGTCACTCGGGGGTTATTTCTCGAGCTTGTAGAGAATTGTGTGTCAGGAGAGCTACGCCATCGTGGGATGTACATGCATATTTTGAAGTAAGGGTATAGTTGATAGGTACGGGTATATAATATAATTGATGTATTTTATGTGAGTTTCTTGTAGGGAAATTATGTGAGATGTGTGCTTTCAATAATTGATTGTAGTTCGCAGTAGTTGTTTAGGTATCTGTTTAATTTTGATAGTCTTTAATTTTGATTGTTTAATTTTGATAGTCATTTTAAAAGATGTTTGTTACATGCCGGGTTTGTTTAAGTGGTTGATTGCGTACTTGTTTTAAAGAATTCGTTAGAATAGCAATAATTTATTTAGTTTTTATTTTGTTAAGCTTTTTATTTCTTCTGAGTTCATTAAGGCCCTAATCTTAGATCTAGTTTGAATAAAATTATATTGACTATCATTGTTTCTTTTTAGTTTTATTTTCTCTCTCTCTTCGATAGGTTTTTAGGATAATCAAAAGACTTCGAATTGGACTTAACACTAGCATTTCTTCTTCTTCATAATGTATTTTTTTCCGGTCTTTGCTTGTTGTGGGCTGTTTGATGTTTGTTGGTTATTAGGGTTTGGCTAGTGGGGTCTTCTAGTGGTTGTGGTTTTGACTTGTTCTGGCCCCTGATGAATAAAGAGCGCCGTCGTGCTGGTGTCTGTCTTTGTAGATAGACCTGCTTTTTGGTTGTTGGCTTTTATTAGCACTTTTATAGCTTGGATTTCTTGATAAATCACAAATACTGTGTTCATAGGGGTGATCGCTCTTTGGGTATTAGTTGTCTAGGCATTTGATGCAGCTTGGATTTTCTTTACATTTTTCTACGAGGCCTGTATTAATATGGGGTGTGCGACTATGCGACTAATCATGATAATGATCTTTTACAGAAAATAGCAATGTGTCCAATACGCCAACAATTGAAGAAGCGCCTTGGTGGAGGAATATAAAGTCGAACTTTAACTCTTTCGTAACCAATGTTTATATTTTCTGGTAGACTAAGTAACGAGTTTGAAAGAATAATTAATCCAGTTTCAGATTTACCCAAAATGAGCTTTGTAATCTTCTTTACTTCGATTACGTGTTGTGATTTTAGGTTTTCCAAGAGAAATCTTGGAATCTCTTCAAATCCCCTCAAGTCATTGCATTGTTTGATTTTTTAACTACTTATTCTTCGCTGTTTGACCAACGAGAATAGGTTGCTTTATGTTCTGATCTGATAAGTGTTCTATTAATAGACACGAGTAAGACACGAGGAGGTTCACTTCGGGGATTTGGACGATTCTGCTTTGAGGTACTTAAGAAAGAAACAACCGTTCCTATTCTTTGCCTATTTAACAAAAAATTTAAAATTTATTATTAAATCACTTTGGACTGCAGGACATATACTGACGATGAGCACCGGTAAGTGAGCGCAAGGAGACTACTGTATATAGCCGCAACATTCGAAGTCAGCTAATAATAGTCTGATTTGAAATCAATCAAAAGGTATCACTTTTAAAAGAGTTTGTGCATACTAAGGGTTTTAGAAAGTCATTTGGTTTCGGAGAAATGGGGGTAAAAGTGCAAACAAATTGTTTGTCTTTTCCTGGAGCTGTTAGGCAAATGGTTATGGCATGGTTGTATTCTGGTAATAAATATGCGCCCAATGACACCAAAATTGTCTTGTTCCGATACTCCGTTAAAAAGTTATTCAATAAACAAAATATAAACAGCA